GTAAACCAAGCCCGAAAAAATCAGTATATACCGATATTCCTGAATACCGATACTGGGATTTGGGAAAAATCGGTATTGCCAAATATATTCGGTACCATTATACCCTATGGGGAAAGTCCACATAGAGTATAATGGAACTGCAGTCTTTCTTTTCCCAGCCACCCCACCTCTGGTCAGTTTCACTCCCGGTGGATCAGCTGGGGAGTGAAATTGACCGGTGGAAGCAGCCGGGCAGCTGAGGAAGGGGAGACTGAGGCATGTTTAAATGCCCTCCTCCCTTCCCCAGCCTGCCTGCCTCTCCAGAGCAGCTTCCCTCCAAGTGAGCAGCTTCCCTCCAAGTGTCTTCCCTTCCCCAAGCTAGGGAGAGCTGGCTGGGGAAAGGAAGGGAAAGGAGAGCTGGTCAGTTTCAGTCCACTGAAAGGGACCATTGCTGTGCAGACTTGGCTGGTTGCCACCCAGGCGATAAGCTAGAAGCTGGAGACAGAAGCCGGAATCAGGGTCAGTGAGAAAGCCGAAGGTCCGATAGCCGGGAAGTCATTTCAAGAATGCAGGTTTCCAAAGGCAAGGAGCGACTGGTCCACACTCAGAAGCAGGTCTGATTTTGCAGAGCTGTTGCCACGCTGGAGCAGGTGCACCAAGGGGTTTTAAACAGATCCTCCCTCCCTTTGCAGTGGAGTCTGCAGAGGCTTACAACTCCTCTCAGTGACGTTGCTGGAGCTGCAGCCTGGCACTCCTTCTTTGCTCCTGCATAGTCAGCCTCTGCCGTGCCCTACCTCTGGGGCACTCAGGGGAAGTAGGCGGGGAGTCTGGCCTCGGGGTGTCTGCAGCTGGGGTCGCTGGCCCCGGCTCAGGAATGGTCTCTCCTTCTGGCTGCACCTCTTGTGCAGCTACTGGGGACTCTTCCTCCTTGGGTACTGCTGAGGGTTCTTCCTCTGGGCTGTCTCTAGAGGAGGCTGAGTTGTTCTCTGCCTCTTCCTCATCTGAGGAGGAGTCAGCCTCAGCCGGACCCACGACACTTGCCTTCCCTCCCTGATTCGGAGCTGGGCACCCAAATAAGATCGGCTTTTATTTGGGAGCACCTTATTGGCAAGCCGATCAGATTAGAGAATCTGATTCGGCCGAAAAAATACCCCCAAAATACCAGTAATAAGGTATTTTCCAGGTATTTTTTCCCATTTGGCAAAGCCGAATGCACACCCCTAGAAGCCAGTGAGCCCAGCCACGCAAATCCAAGGAGAGAGTTGTCCCTACAAGCCAGAAGGTAGAGATTGCTTTCTACCTGCAAATATGGGGCTCAGTTATATTTGGCTGACCCAGAGTCCAGGAGTGTATCAAGGGCTGTGTCCCGGGGCACCTTGAAGACCAACAAAGTTTTATTCTTTCATGTGCCTGCACACTTCTTATTAATTACACTTTGTTAAATTAAGCGTTGTTGGTCTTAAAGGTGCCACTTTTGGAGTATGTTGTTCACAATCCATGCTCACCATCTAGCTTCACATATACACGACCACCACCAGCACCGTCAGACAGTGGCTCAGAACCAGTGGGGGACACCGAGGAAACAGAGACTCGAGATGCAAAAATCCCAACTCAGATGCAGACTCACTGAAATGGCCCGTGACGAGGCCTTCACTGGCTGTGATCACACATACTAAATAATCCACTTTCAATTCACTTCGACCGATTTCCCACAAGCCACCGCTCCGCCCTTGCTCTTCCCTCCCCCCAATTGTATTCATCAATTTCCCACTACTTGCTGCGCATCCACATTTTGACCCGCGGCTTCACCCGATTTCCCCCGCATCTTTTTGATCCTCAAAAAACAGGACCGAGAAGACGTGGGGGAAATCAGGCAAAGCTGCGGGTCAAAATGCGACTGTGCAGCAAAGAAATTGACGCATACAATTGGGGGAAAGGGAAGAGCAAGGGCGGAGCAGCAGCTTGTGGGAAATCGGTCTTTCAGTCCACTTTCCAACTGGATTTTGCCAATTCACACGATAAAATCCAGCTGGCAAGCGCATTGAAAGTGAACACACTTTCAATCCACTTCTAGTGCACTTTGCATGTGGATTTTACTGTGTGAAAGGGCCAAATCCACTTGCAACCAGTCGCTGAAGTGGACTGAAACTGCATTATTTAGCATGTCCGAAAGCAGTCATCTTTATCCGATGGAGAACTTAACCTTACTGGGTCGATGTGAAGGCTGCAAATGAGATTAAGGCGGAATCTGCATTTGTCTTTCCCACCAGTGTCCCGGCCTTTTGACTCCGTCTTAAAAAAAAGCTGTCTACATTTGGTGTCGTTTTCACACCTCAAGAGTGCTAGCATACTTTTGCACGTCCACATATGTTTATCATCCTTTCGGGGCGGCTCCACTGTCATTGCACCTCCGCACTGCTTTAAAAGAATCTTCCCCAAACAACATTTAAACAAGCATAAAGACGGCGTCACAGAAGCACGAAACTGATTTAAAAATGCAAATGCAGATTCTGCCTAAGGGTCAATGGGATTGGGGGGAGATTATGGATGCAGATGAAATGGAGGGAATAAGGGCAGATTTGCTAGGCCACAATCCAGTTTGAACGCCTGATCTCCTGCTGGTGCAAATGGGATGAGCAGCCGGAAGCAGGAGTGTCTCCGTTTCGATGCCAGCAGGTTCCTCGGACGAGGTGCCCCGAACCTCGGGAAGCACCCTGCTCCTCTCCCCCACCCCACCCAGCTATGAAGATTTTCGGAAGATGCTTCTGTCCGGCCAGGAGTTGCGGAGTACTGTTAGTCAGACGGCTGTTGCATTCCGCCCATCTCGAAAGAGCAAAATGGGTTTAGTGGGCAGGCAATGATGGGGCGAGGTTGAAATATAAACAGCTGCGGATTAAGCCTGCGTGGAAGCCGTGCCTGCCCCCCCATTGTGGAATCCCTTTCCTCCCCCCATACCTGGGGGCGGGGCAGGGGAAGTCAGGAGAAAGTTAGCCAATATGCAGGGGAGCCAGGAGACGTGGATTCTATCTGCATCTCTGGGCGGGGTGAGTGTGTGTGTGTTGTTATTGGGTTGGGGAAAGGAAGTGGATGGTGGGGCCTCTAGAGAATCTTTCTTCCCTCTGGGTGGACCAGGATTTTTCACTAGGTGGGAGGGCTGGATGCTGGAGTGGGAGAGGGGTTGGGAGGCAGGGGTCTCGGGTCGCCCTCCCCGCAGCGCTGGGGCAACCGGAAGAGCCTTTTCCCATCCAGGAAGCCAGCGACTTTGACACGCCACATGCCATGGGTCATCTCCCGTCATGCTCCACCAGGCCTGGGGATGGCTGAGATCAAAAAACATTAACTCTTAAGGCATGGATCCTCACTCCCCCCCCCTCCCCACTTGACCGGCTAAAGGAAAAGAAGACTGGCAAGGCATACACCCCTCCCCCTTCCTGTAAGGCAGTTTGAGGATGGGGGGGAGAGGAGGGGCGGGGGAAGGGAAGGGCTGCGACCAGAAAGCATGTTGTTAGAACACAGAAAGCCAGACACGGGAGTCTCGGAACCCTTTCTCTGACACAGACCCAGTCCAAGGTGCTTTGCGCAGGAACCCCGTCATGGCTGGAGGCTGCCCTGGAGAGACCTCCTCTCAGTTCTTGTATCCCGACCACCATCAGGGACCTCCACCTTATTTCAGGGGTGCTATTTTGCCTGCTTCGCCCATCGTCCGTTTTATTTTTTCAGCGCGGCCCATGAGGATCCTTGAAAATCTCAGCTTGGCTTTGTTTCGTTAAGTGGCACCCTTCGAGAACACACACCCTGTGACGTTGAAGAGCCTTGCGCTGGCATCGCAACTTGGCTCCACCCCTTTCCCTGGTTCTATAGTAGGGTTGCCAGCTCTGGGTTGTGAAATACCTGGAGATTCTGGGGGGTGGAGCCTGGGCAGGGCGGGGTTTGGGGAGGGGAGGGCCTTCGGTGAGGCGTAATCAGGGGTCATTTCCTGCAGGAGTGCACAGGAGCGGAGCGCCGGCAGTAAGGAGCCCAGGGGGCGGGCACATGCAACAAGCCCCGCCCCCTACTCCCAGCAGCCTTCAGTTGGGCCACGAGGAGCAAGAAGCAGCCAGGTAAGTTCCAGAGCG